TCTTTTATTCACTGTACCTGGTGCTCTCTTTACAACTGTGTGAACGAGGGACTTCAGTTTTTGTTGGCTGCTGTCAGTCACATCGGCTCATGCTGGCGATGCTCAATAGAACAACAATGGCCAGTCTTGGCTGTCCTCATGATCCTCCGTAATTTGAAGCCATTTGTGGTTGCTATGGTGTCAGTTCATTCCATTGGGGACTTCTCTCTCCTTTTTGTAGGTCCTGTTATCCCTGTTTTACAGAAGAGGATGCTGCTGGGCTTACATAAGCCCAGTCACAGGGATAGTGAGTGATACAGCAAGGACTTAAGCCAAGGTCTATATGATACGGACCCCACACTTTAAAAACTTGATTTTATTTTTATTAAGATTTACACAGCAGAACATAGACCAGTTCACCAGTATCTACATGTACGGTTCAGTGACATTGATAACCCTGTTTGAATTGTACAAGCATTCGCGCCTCCTTTTCCGAGTTATCCTCTCCCCCTACACTAGCATACACTCACTGCTCCCCAAGTTTCCTATCTAGTCTTTGGAGTTGCTGTTTGACCCCATATAAACAGGTCTTAAAAGAGCATCATGTTGAAGACAGGCATTCTTTCTTAGTGAAGCTAAACTACTGTAAACTCCAGGGTCTTAAGTACTACACCAATTTATTTCTCTTGACTACCAAGAGCCCTGAAGGAGATAATATTGTCTCCATTGGACTGAGGAAGCATGAACTCAATGTGGACTCACAAGTCATGCAAATGGTTCAGCTAAGCCTCAAGTCCCAGATTTTTGACCCGTCTTCGATTTGCCTTTATGACCAAATGATTTAGGTTGGTCCAAAGACAACTTTGGAAATACGAGAGTAAGTTTAAAAGTTACTTTTAACTAGAGTGCCAGGACATGGGTGGGTTTTATCCCAAACCAACCATACTCAAGCCTGTTTCTGAGGTCATGGGGTGGCTGTTGATGTTTTCTCAGTGATACACTTAGTTTCATTAGGGTCTCCCTCTCCTCCACCCCCACCCCACTCCCCCAAAAAGGGTCTAATCAAAACTGGCTTCCAGGAGAATCTACTGGACAAGTTAAAGTCAAGGTAGAGAGGTCAGCTCTGAAGGTTATGGCGACTGTTTTGGGGGAGGGACATTCAAAGGGGTAATCTTGATAGATTTTCTCAAAGGACATGAATGATCACAGCAGTTTATTAGGAAAATGGGATTTTCATAAACTTGAAAACTGCGTTAGTGAGATAAAGGCCAGGAAATTTTCACTGGGGACATTTGCCCCCATCTCAGCATTCTTCAAGTGTAACAAGGAGACTAGCTACAAGAATTTCTTGGGGAAGCCCTACCCTACTTGTCCTGATACTTCATACAACCCTGGTTTTGCCCCGTCACACTTCTCTTTGTTCCCCAAACTCAACACTTAAAAGGAACGTGATTTGAGTGTTGGATGCCAACATTGCAGTTTTGACGTGGTAGTCACCGAAGAGCAAGCATTTGGGGGGGATGGGCTCCAAAAACCCAAACTCACACTGCCTTGCTGTTGATTCCGACTCATAGCAGTCCAACAGGACAGGGTAGAAATACCCGTATGGGTTCCCGAGACTGTAGATCTTTAGGGGAATAGAAAGCTTTATCTTTCTCCCACAGAGCTGGTGGTTTTGAACTCCTAACCTTGCAGTTTGCAGCCCACTACATAAACCACTATTGCCACCAGAGCTGCTTCGGGAATGGGTTAGAGAAATGGACACAGAAGTGTCCTGACCTAGGTGGGAGGCTATGTTGAGAAGCAATAGCTTTACATTTTGATCTTTTTGCTTAATAAAGGTTCCTGTGATTCAGTAGCAGTGATTTTCTAATTACCCAACTTCCTAGCCGTGATCATTTTGGGGGGTGGTAGGTAACTGGCGATTATAAGCAACCTGCAGCACAGCAGAAAGCGCTAAACAGGGTTGTTTTTAGAAAGAAAATAGGGTCCTAGGGCAGGATTGATGATATCTTAGGGGTTTGATGAAAACTGTTGAGCCGAGAAATTTCTTTTTGTTTTTATTTTTCTTTTAATCTTTTCCCTTCTAAAGCTTGACAAAGCAGCCTAGTCGGTAAAGCCTTCTTAGGGTTTCTTGTGTAACTTGAGGCCCCTGCTAACTTTTATTCCTCAACAGCAATGACATGTACGCTGTCATGCGTTCATACGTAGCTGTTCTCTGTGCGCCACACCTGGCTGATAAACTGAAACCAGCTACACTCGATGAAGGTGGGGACTCGGTGTCCTTGACTTTCTCAAGCTGGGGTGAGAAACACGTGTTATTCTCTAGACTTTGCCTTCAAAACCCTGTCTTAGACTAACTCACGATATTATCTTTGAGTTAACTTTTCAGTAGTGGCTTGTAGTCAACGACTTTGTTCTGTGGAGGCTTTTCCATATGAGAAATTTAAGGTAGTTTGTCCAGTTTTATTAAACGCAATTTATCGACAGTGTCTTCCTAGTCTAATTCATTGTACATGCCACAGCAAATTACTTTTAAGGGAACATAACTCATGTTCCCTGTTGGCACCTAAGAAACATCTCCCCAAAGGCCTTGCCCCTCACATAAGCTCCTCTAGAGCAGGCCTGGGGAAACCATTTTCTCTGCCAAGGGCCAGTAGGACATTTCTAACGTCATTCATTCAATGTACTCACCCCTCGTGTGAGGGCTGGCACAGCTTCTGCTGAGGTGCCTGTTGTTAGCTGGAGGTGATATCTCCGCCGGCCTGATCCGTTCCGAGGGCCAGGCGTTCCCACCCACGCGTGGGCTCCTGCTTAGGATTGCTATTGCGAGAAGGGGGGTCGTACAGTAGCTTCAAAGAAGGGGCCAAATCCCATAATGAAGAGAAGGAGTTGTCCAGTGTCAGGTGTCTCTAACCCCGGGCGGTCTGCACTTTCTGACACTGAGGGTGTACCACTGGGGTCCTGGTTGCTACCCAGGGATAGCCTTCGTGGGGGCGGCGGTCTGTGGCTGTGTTCCCTCCTGGGTGGCTCTGGCGTGCTCAGACTGCGATGAAGGATTAACAGTGCACCTCACTGTTAACTGAGAGGTTGAAGATGCCAGCAGCTCCTGTTGATAAAAGACCTGGGATCTGCTCTGGGGGAGATTACAGCCAAGAAAGCCCTGAAGGAGAGTTCTGTCTGTCCCATGAAGTCTCTGTGAAGCAGACTGGATTTGTGGACACCCAACAGACTGGTTAGCGCCGGAACCCCAGGGACTGGTGATTTTCCTCTCCCGCTGCCTGTCAGAGTTTTTTGGAGAGCTTTTAAAAAATCACTCATTCCTTGAACTTATCCCAAGGATGTTGATTTTGTGGTGTGGTGGGGAGGCCGGGTCAGTGCAATTTGTAAGGCTTCCCATGTGATGCTGATGTACAGTCAAGCAGGAGCGCCCTGAAGTAAACCATGCCTCCGCCAGCGCCTTACTTTAACTGCTGTTCATAGAGGAGAGATTTAAGCCATAGCTTTGTTGGGTTAGATACTGGGTTCCCTAACTAATTGGCCAACCACCCCCTCTCCAAGGGGCGGAAAAAAGACAAACAAACAAACTCAGTACATCACCACAACCCAGTCACCCTCCGGGCAATGAAACATTTTTGTGCTCTAACCCACAGCTCAGGTTAAGTGTAGGTATCTGCCTTTGCAGCCCCCTCTCCATTGTTACAGCCCACTCTGGAATCTGTGGGTTAGATCTTGATTGGTCTTATTAATTTTTTTGAAAATTGGATAATTAAGGAAAAAGTCTTGTTTTCAGATGGAATCTTCTCTGAATGGCATTCCTCTTGCTCTACCCTCTATCCTTACTATTTAGAAAATAAAAGTCTCCTGTCTGACTTTCAAAACATGTAAAGGTCAGGCCAGAAAGATCCATGGTTGGGCACCTGAGATTTTCTGCAAGTGGATAACAAAATGGCCCTCTTCTGCAGTCAGCTTTGTGTAAACGATGGCCTCTTGGATATTTTATACATTATACATGAGGTTTATTAAACATATCCTTCTTCCCCAAAGGTTTGTTATCTCTAAATTTGGAAGTTAATCCACAATAGAAGAGAACATGTATTATTTATAAATTTCTTAGTGTCTGGTAGAAAGTGTCATGTTATTTTAAAAAACCATACTTAACGCTTCCAAGGAGTTACACACCTAGGTGCGCTCTCTAATCTTGAAACCCACCCTGCAAAAAAAACGAGAGTGCCTCTCAGCCAGGGGCGGAAACAAACAAAAGCAGGTCCCCTGTCCTCACTGAGTCGAACCAAAGCTTAGGGTTTCTGAAGCCGCAAATGTTCCCAGAGCAGACAGCCTCTTCTTTTCCCCGCAGAGTAGTACCTGGTGGGGATTCCCACGCACGCTTCACTCACTTTCCCCTGTCTCGAGTGTTGAAACTCAAAAGATCAACATGGGAGCATCACTGTTAAAGAGACAAGGTCCAGCTGTTCCTCGGCTCCCACCAGGAGGGTTTTCCTTAGTTTTTTCCTCCTTTTTCAGGATCCAACCCAGACCCCCGCCTGCCCGGCATTTAGTACTTACTGCACAGGTATTTTCACTGATGGGCCATGTGGGGTTCATTAAATGTGTTCATAAACTCCAAGTATCCTCAGGAAATGGATGTAAGCGTGTCTGCTGCAAGGAAGTGGGTGTTGCTTCATCAAATGGAACGTTGAATTAAGCTGCTATTGAAAGTGGGTGTGTGTGTGTATAGAAATTCTGGTTTTGTTCTCAGCAGAGCACCCAGAATTCCCAACGTCCCACTTACCGGCACCGTAGGATTTGCTGTATCTAGATGCTGTTTCTAAACAAAGCCACGAAAGGGTGTTGAAGGCGAGGCATTAAAAGGTTGGCTGGGGGTGGGTGGGGTATCTCAGGACCAGGAGAAAACTGGTTGCAGGAGTGCAGTGAACACTGCAACGCTGTTCATGTGGGTGCTCAGGAAGAAACGTCCGCGTGGTTTTCTAACGAGCGTCTCCCGTTGTTCTTGCCGGCAGAGGGACCCCATGAAAGATGACAGAGGAAGTCATTGTGATAGCGAAGTGGGATTACACCGCCCAGCAGGAGCAGGAGCTGGACATCAAGAAGAATGAGCGCCTGTGGCTGCTGGATGACTCCAAGACGTGGTGGCGGGTGCGCAACGTGGCCAACAGGACGGGCTACGTGCCGTCCAATTACGTGGAGAGGAAGAACAGCCTGAAGAAAGGCTCGCTCGTGAAAAATCTGAAAGACACGCTAGGTGAGTGCCCTGTCCGTGAGGACCCAGGCAATGCACAGAGGGGATGTTCTTCCCCGTCAAGCCAAGAGAAAACCTCGAGCTCTTTGTAGAGCCAGGGGCTCATCTCTAGATGGTTCCTTAAACCGTGAATGTGGACCTCCTCCCAGTTGCCTCCCCGACTCTTTTCTTTTGACTCCCAAAATAAGGAGATCAGGATGGAGAGCAATCAGGTTTGTCGTTTCCTGCTGATTTTAAAGTTTACAGTCATATGGATGCTGATGCTTCTGTGTGTCTCGGGCCCCCACACGTGTTTCTGTCTCCTCGCCTGAAATGGGATTCACAAGCTCAGAAAACGTTTCACTGTCCTGCCTGTATCTTTCCATCAGATTGTTCCAAGGTGTGCGTCATGAATCATTTTCTGCCTCTTCCAAAATCTTCTCCCATGGATGTGTTTGCATAGGAAGAGGGGGTAGCACAATGCACTTTGAGCCCAGGTGAATTTCCTCCCCATCTTCAGTGAATGCTGACTCGTCCCACAGTTCTGAATTAAAAGGGGCAACCAGCCCGGCCCCTGTGTGATGTTGGGGGCCAGCAGAGGTCCCTAAAGTGGGGGAGATCACTGGAACTTACTTCAGGCATCTCATTGCCAGGATTTCTTTAGGACTTCTTCCAAAGGACCTCTTTCCCTCCCTCCCTTCTTGTCCAGAGATAGGACACAAAGCCACCTCCAGTTACAGGTGCTGTTACACCATTATGAGCACAGTGGTGATTGATGAGACTGAGGGGGGACTGTTGGTTATCACTCGATAGTTTATTATTAAAACAAGTCTGTATAATCACCCAAGGTACTCTTACTTGGGTTCAGAGCAAGTGTTGTATCTGTTCTTGGGCATAATCCCTTATGGTGCAGTGGTTAAGTGTTTGGTTGGTAATTAAAGGTTGAGAAGTTCAAATCGACCTATTGACTCTGGGAGAAAGACTTGGAGATCCAATCCCGTAACTACCATGACTTCAGAAAGCCCAGGTGGAGTCTTTCTGAGTTGGAAATCAAGTCTGTGATGCAACTAACAATTTCAAAGGAAAGTTTGTTTCGGGGGGTGGGGGGGGGGGTAATGGGAGGGTATAGACGTATGGGAAATATAAAAAGGAACTTACAGAGAGAGTGATGAGTGTTGCATAATCTTTCATTTTATGCACTCTTGAAAAGTCTATTAATGCTTTAATTCCTTGAAAGTCTTCATTCATGGGGTAGTTCCCTCCTATAAGCGTTTCACTGGAAAGAATCCCAGGGCGGACGCATGGGGTGCTCGGTTATGAGGGGAGCCCAGGCAGATAGCTCCTTTCAGATTTCCCTGAGCCTCGTGTTTTGTGTTGTTGCCAATATCAGCCTCATAACTCCTTTTTTAGACATTCTGAACATTGTTGGCCTGAGTGTTTTGTCTGCTTCCTTGCCCACGTGTATGTGGGTTTCTGAAGATTGTGTAAGCTGGGGATGGCCAGAGATTGGCAGAAGTGGATGAAAGCAGGGCGAGCACTCTGGTAAATTCCCTTGAATAGCTTCAGTGGTCATTTTTACCCCTTTAGTTTTTTAGTAGGAGAAAGGTCAGAACCTCAGGTTAAAATGATTACCTACGACTCTCCTGGTGCACTTACGTCTCCTCCTTAACTGTGATCTGTGATTTGTGCAGCGCATCCACTGGAGCCCAGCCTCTCAGAATTTAGACGAGACAAACGCAGCCCGCTCACCCAGAGAGCCGTCTCGGACAGATGGCCGCCCAGCCTTGGCTGGAACACTTCTGCTTTCAGAGTCAGCCAGCTCCATTTTTGGAGAACACAGATTGTTAGAAAGTTCTTCCTTAAATAGCATCAGCATTTCTCTGTGTGTGTGTGTGTGTGTGTGTGTGTGTGTGTGTGTGTGTGTGTGTGTATTTAGTTTCTTATTTTTCCCTCTGGCGTTGCACTGAGTAAGCCTTATTTTTCCTTTGTAGAATGACAGTGCTCTGCCAGTCTGCAGCCAGAATTCACTTATGCAGCCTAAATTAAGTCACACAGTGAACTCCTTAGAAACATTTATACCAAGTAGTATGTATTTTTAAATTCGAGTAACGTATGCTCTGAATGTCCCTATCTATTAGTAGTTGGTATTCATAGTCATCTCTTCTCCTCCCCTCCCCACCCCATTGCCACCCCACCCCCTTTACCTCTGATGGGTTTATCATGCTCACCTGAAGCATCTTACATTTGTTCAAGAGGCACCTTGGTACCTCAGCATGAGATTCCTATAGCTCCATTAGGCAGGACCACATAGAAAGAGACCACCTGGACAAGTGTGACTTCTGATTTCTCCGTAGCCTCACTTGTATATTAATAAAGCTTTAAGACTAAAGCATTGTTGTCAAGAAGGAAAGTGAAAAGACTTTCTGTAGCCCCCCTTGCCTCCCATGAGCCTAGTGCTAAAAACATTAGTGCCTCAACGTTCCTGGGCTGCTGGTTCAAATCATTGCCACAGGTGTGCACCAGCATGTAGCCAGCAGACTTAATCTCTGTTACATATTGCAAAACTCACTTGTGTCCAGTCAGCTCTGAGTCTATGGCACCAGCATAGGGAGGTTTTTTGAGGCTGTAAATCATGATGGAAGCAGAGAGCCACCTCTTTCTCCCACAGAGCAGCTGGTTGGTTTGAACTTGCAGCCTTGTGGTCAGGCAGTCCACCACCACCAGAATGAGTGAAATCAACAGCAGAAATTGCACACACATGTTGACCTTCTAATACCAGGAGGCTTCCGAAAGTCAAGGGAAGAATGAAAGGAAAAGATCCTAGAATGTTTCCAGGAACACTTGAAACCCCTGCTCCTGCTTTCTTCACTTTTGCTATGTTGCTTGCTATGAGAATATGCCCAACTCTTAAATCCACAGAAAACATTCCATGGCAGATGCTTAGTTTCCAGTAAAGTGGCACCTCCCTCCCTGCAAAGCGAGGTGTTGTGTAAGTCAGTGTTACAAATCTGCCCCCTGAATTGCTAATTTCAAATATCTGTATCCCAAGAGAGCTTGCCCTTGGGCTTTGTGGGACTCACCTGTTGAGAATCAGAGGACAAGGAGGGTTTTAGGAGCGAATTTACTTTCAACTCGCATCATCTTTTGTTAAAGTGACTTCAAGACAAAAAAGGTCTGCCAAGAAAGGCCCATCTTCACATTCTCTCCTTTCTTAATAATTTAAAACTGAATAAAACATAAAGCTCCTGTTAGCATGTGGGCCACATATATACCAGACCTCTACTCATACTCAATTTATGATCATGAACGGCCCAAGAGAATTTTTCCTCAGACAAGAAGGAGCAGTTGTCCAGAACGATTTCTGTTGGTAGTGTCCAGTTGATCTTTTGAAGGCTCTGGGCTCCCCAGTGAGTGTTCCTGTGCTGTAGTCTGGGCTTGACACTTGACCTATAAAATTGGTGTGCTGGTGCAGGGAAAGCTCTGGGGTAAGTCCTGCCAACTAGCAGCGCTGCTAACACTGCGCCCAGGAGGGATGTTTCAAAGATTTTCCTTCAGGCCGCTGACGAACAGTTTTTGTTACCACTTCATGGTACCAGGCAGAACACACCAACGCCTCAAAGCGAATTCTCTCCTCAGTGGCTAACTTTGGTGCTGACATGGGCTCCCTAAAAAGATGTGGTTCCATTTATTACCATACTGTAATCCTTCGTGGTCTCAAAAGACCACACTCACTGCCATAGAGCTGATTTTGACTCATAGCAACCCCATAGGACAGAGTAGAGCTATCTGGCTTGTGGTTTTGAACTACTAACCTTGGAGTTAGCAGAAGCAACAGGCATCCATTAAACCCATATTTATTGAATGTGCCTGCTGAGTGACCAGGATGGAGTTGCTATGTTAGGTGCGGCTTAAGGGGTCTGGGAGGCCATGGTACATCTCTGAGTGAGGAAACTTGCAGTATTTCTGGAATATGGAGTTAGGAGATCAGACGGAGCAGGAGATGTTTGGATAACTTCCGGAGTCCTCCGTTGGCCATGCATAGGAGTTAGGTTCATGGGGATCAGGAACGATTAAAGGCTTTGAGCAGAGGTCCGCTGCCTGGCATGGTTCTCTACAGGAGGTGTTGAGGATGAAGGCAAGTTGGAAGACCAGGAATGAGGCATACACTGGTCTAGACAGGAGATATAGAGGCCTAATTCAGGGTGGGGGAGGGGTAGAACCGGCAGGACTTTGGTAGAGTGGCAAAGGGTGAGGGTGGAGTCCTTGTGGGATGTGGGAGGGCGATAGGATGTTTACCAGGTTGCTTCTCCCTCAGCACCCCCTTCCCCCCAGCCTTCGCTATTCACTGGACCACCCTGGCTTCTAAGTTTTCTCTTCAGTCCTGGTCATATTTCTACTCAGTCACATCAGAGCTACTGATTGGAGCCCCCCAGGGCACCGGGACTGTGTTTCTTGAATGAGTTCTTCTTGGATCAGGAAAGAAAGAGGGGCCGGGGTCAGGGTACCAGAGGAAGTCCCTAGCCTTGGTAGGGGAGTCCTGGGGGCAGGACATGTGACAGTAGCTGTTGACCATAGACGATCACTTACCATCTTTTAAGTGAGTTACTACTAAAAAAACAAATGATGTGTATGCCTCAGTTGTGGAGAAGAAAGTATCTTGAATTCATTAATTTGTTTTTATACCTTTTATCCATCTGAGTTTCGGATGTAAGAATAAGTCAAATCTGCCACTTAATTAATTCCAGCTCATAGGGACTGTCTAGGGCAGGCGTCCTCAAACTATGGCCCGCAGGCCACATGCGACCCACCAAGAACATTTATCCGGCCCACCGGGTGTTTTTGCCCCATTTGGTTTTTTACTTCAAAATAAGATATGTGCCATGTGCATAGGAATTTGTTCATAGTTTTTTTTTTTTTTCTTCTCTTTCAGATTGTCTTTATTTTTTTATTTTTTTTAACATTTTATTAGGGGCTCATACAACTGTTATCCCAATCCATACACACATCAATTGTGTAAAGCGCAT